CTGAGGCAAGAGAATTGCTAAAGCCCAAAGAGTTTGAGGTTGCTCTGGGCTGTGATGCCACTGCGCTCTATGAAGGTTAACATAGTGAGACTCTGTCTCAAAAAAACAACAAAAACGATATACTTGAAGATATATTTGAACTCACAAGAATTTTCAGTCTCCAAAAAATCAAAAGTAATAATTTTTTTTTAAGTAATAGGGTAGGGATTCAAAATAGGTTGGCTAGGTGGTGCCTGTGGCTCAGTGGGTGGGGAGGTAGCCCCATATACCGATGGTGGCGTGTTTGAACCTGGCCCCAGCCAAATTGCAGCAAAAAAAAAAAAAAAAAATAGCTGGGCATTTTGGTAGGTGCCTGTAGTCCCAGCCACTCGGGAGGCTAAGGCAAGAGCATTGCCTAAGCCCCGGAGTTAGAGGTTGCTCTGAGCTGTGACGCTACAGCACTCTCCCACGGGCAATGAAGCGAGACTCTGTCTCATATAAATAAAATAGGTTGGTTTTGTACTATGATGGTAGCAAGCACAAGCTTTCTCTTTAATATTGTAATCAAATAACGAAAATAGTTGAATATTATATGTCATCCTGATATTGCAAGTCTCAAAAATGCACCAACATCTTAGATGGATTTATCTGCTGCATATTATGATTTGTCAGATCAATTTTAAAATACAGTAAACTTATTTTTAGTAATGAGACATTGAGCACGCTTCTGTTCTTACTCCTTTCAGGCTGAGGAGGGCACATTGCCTCATGAACTCATGGAGGGTGCGGAGGGAGTTGCAGGTGGTTTTATATACACTATTCAGGGTAAGTTGGTAGTTAAAAGTTGAAAAAAAAAACACAGTGAATTACATGTATGTAATCTTTATACTTTGACATAAAAGGTGACTTTTTTTTTTTTGCCATTTAAAAAACTGCTTTATTGAGATAAAAAATTCACGCTTTTAAAGTGTTGTATTCAATTCAGTGGTTTTTAGTGTATTCAGAGTTCCGCAGCCATCTTCACTAATTCCAGAACATTGCGTCTCCTCATAAAGCAGCCCCATTAGCTGTCACTCCTCATTCTTTACCACCCTGTCCCCAACAACTGCCAGTGTTGCCTTCTGTGTGGATTTGGCTATTTGAAACATTTCCTGTAAATGAAATTTACAACATGTGGTCTTTGTGTCTGGCCGCTCTTGGTTAGCATAATGTTTCGAGGTTCACCCCTGCTGTGTCTCAGGGCCTGTTTATGGCTGTGTAATATTCCACTGCATAGAGAGACCCCATTTTATTTACTTAATTGCTCATTGATTAATGGACATTTAGATTACTTATACTTTCTGATAATCTGCAGTGAACATTTATGTACAAGTTTTTGTGTGGTCAAATACTTTGATTTCTCTTAGTTAAAAATGTAGGACTAGAAGCGCTAGGTCACGTGATAATTCTGTTGAACCACTGAGTTGAGTCACTGCCAGACTTTTTCAGAACTGCTGCCCATTTTACATTTTCGCCGTCAGTGTCAGGGGTTCCAGTCTCTCCATGTCTTTGTCACCACTTGTTGTCCCTCTTTTTTAATATGTCCATCCTAGAAAGTCACTGAAGTAGCATCTCATTGTGATCTTTGATTAATATTTGCATAGTAAATGATGTCGAGCATTTATTCATGTGCTTATATGTAAGTTACTACTAAAGTTTTAAGACAGGCTGTGTTATGTTTCATTATTTCACTTCCGAGAAATTCAGTCAGCAGCGTCCTCTCCGATTGACCCGGGCAAGTTTCAGCTTGGCTGGCTTATCCGTGTTTCTGGGAAGGCTTCATTTGTTTCTGTCCATGCAGATTTTACATTGCTTGATTTTTGTGTATCTCAGAACCTTCAAAGTGACCCTCATAACTTTAGAGAAATAGAGGGTCACTATGAAAGTTTTGAGACAGACTGTTACTTCATTTCTAAGAAATAGAGGCTACGTCAGCTGATTCAGCCATTCGGATTTGGCTCACCCTTTCATCCATGCAGCATTCAGTCAGCGCCAGGGAAGAGAGCACTTCCCATGATGGTGTCTATGATTTTAAAAGTGGGTTAAACGAGTCTCAAAGCCTTGGAGTTTTGCAATGGGCTTTAAGGGACCTTACTCCAAGGTCCTACACAACAATTTTTTTTCAAAGAATTTACAAGAGGCCAAACATCGCTAAAAGACAAGGACAAGAGTTAGTGTCCAACAACCACAGTGACTAAGGGATACATTTCTGCTGTGGAAAAATGGTTTGGGAGAACAATCAACCCTTAAGGACACTGAAGTGGCACTATAGATGGGACTGCTGGCAGTGTCCAGAATTCTGCATGATTATCTTCAAGTCCGCTAAGTTTCATCCCGATGGGGGCCTCACACTTTGACAGATGAGCAAAGCTCATGTGTTGAATGGTGTGAAGAAATACTGGTCAGAGTTGACGGAGGCAAGTCTGGAGGTGTTTCTGGTATCATTACTGGGGATGAACCGGAGTTACTGGTCTGATCCTGAGAATAAGCATCAGTCAACGGTGTGGATGTTTTTCCCAATGAAAATCCACCAGCAAAAGTGAAGTGGGCCTGGAGCATCTGAAAGGCAGTGGTGACAACGTTCTTCTCCAAAAGTGGTCGTGTCACAGGTGTTCCTCTGGAGGACCGAAGGACTGTTACTGCTCAGCGGTATACAGGAGTGTGCCTCCCAAAAGTTTTTAGGAAGTGTTAAGAACAGCAGCCGAGGACAGGACTGAGGGGGACCATCTTGCACCGTGACACTGTGTCCGCCCACACGGCAACACCACCATTCGGTTCCTGGAGTCCCAGAGGTTACACTTGTGACTCCTCCACCTACAGACCTGACCTGGCCATGTGGTTATTTCCTGATGTGCAGAAGAAGGTTCTCTGGCTTTGAGAAGCTGTTTATGCCTATGAAAGTGAACTTACAGCACTTGAAGAAAATCAGTAGAAAGAGTGTTTTTAAAAATGGCCTATAAGAATGCAGAAGTGCACAGGATGTTGTGACTATTTTGAGAAAATGTAGTAAAAATAATTTTATGTTTCTTAATTTTTGTGTATCTTAAAACTTTTGTAGTATCCCTGGTGTCTATTTAAATCCTTTGCCCATTTTTTAAATTAGATTATTGATTTTGTTATTGTTGGATTATAAAATGAGTTCTTTTTATGTTCTGAATACCAATACCTTATCAGATACATGATTTCCAAATATTTTCTCTTGTGCTAGGTTATTTCTTTTATTTATCTGTTATTTTTCTCTCCTCTGTGATTACTATTCCTGCTTTTTTTTTTTTTATTAAATCATAGCTGTGTACATTAATACAGTCATGGGGCACAGTGTACTGTTTTTATATACAATTTGAAATATTTTCATCAAATTGGTTAACATAGTCTTCATGTCATTTTTTTAGTTATTGTGTTAAGACATTTATACTCCACACCCAGAAAGATTCACATGTATCCTTATAAGATGAACCATAGACGTGATCCCACCAATCACCGTCCCTCCACTCGTCCTTCCCCCTCCCCTATTTATTTATTTTAGAGAGTAGATCTGGCTTTTATCAGGCTGGAGTGCAGTGAAAGGGCCATAGCTCACTGCAGCCTTGAACTCCTGGCTCAAGTGAGCCACTGCACCAGCCATTTACATACGAAAGTTGTAAATTTTGATGAAATTCAGTTTTGTCACTGTTGTTTTTGGTATCTTATCTAAGAAACTATTGTCTAATCTGAAGTCACAAAAATGTATGCCTTTGTTTTCTTTCAAGAGTTTTATAATTGGCTCGGTGCCTGTGGCTCAGGTGGCTAAGGCGCCAGGCACATACACCTAAGGTGGTGGGTTCAAATCCAGCCCGGGCCTGCCAAACAACAATAATG